GGGGAAGGTGGGTTTGGGTGAGCTTTAAATGGAAGAGGGGTTGGATGAACTATAAAGGAAGAGGTAAGGGGTTTGTGTGAGGTGTAAAGAGAGTGGGAAGCAGGGATTGGCCAGGTGTAATCTAAGGGGGAGTCATTGGCAAGGCGTTGGCAGGTTAGGCTGGAGTGGTGGTTAGGGGCGGCAGCCCTAGTAACGAAAATGATATCAAAGCTTGTAGGGTATGAAAGGACCATTTGAGTCACTTTGTCTGCCCCCTGCCTGAACAAAAACATCCAACACATTTCCATTAACATCCAAACCTAAACTGCTTTTGAGTTGTCAAAGTGATGATATCTCTTGGGAGTTGTTTTGCTCTTAGTATTAAAAATGCCTGGTTTAAAGGTTTCTCATTGGGTGTTATAGTGCTTACTGATGCCCTGGTCACTTCAGTTTTTTACATTAATTGGTTGCTTTAGAGGCAAACTGTATATCTTCTGAAATGCCCCAAACAACCCCCCTTTTAATCATTAGGAATTATTAATTGAAGATTGTGCTCTCTAGTGTTAATCACTAAAATATTTTTTTTCATAGTGCCTATTTATCATTCAACTCCTCCTCCTCCTCCTCCTCCTCCTCCTCCTCCTCCTCCTCCTCTTCTTCTTCTGGCACAGAGAAAGGGTGGGCAAGCATGCAGGTCTTTGACAGCTATTCACTAAATGGCCCTTATCACCATCCACTATCATATTCTGATTATAGGAAGGGTCATGGCAGATTGAAGGGTCTAGGAAAAGAAGGATAGTAAAAGCAGTGCCATTGGAAAAGAGAAAATAGGTAGAGAAGGCATCAGGTAATGTGAATCAGGCTTTTCTGAACAGGGTAGCCTATATGTCTTACTTTCAGAGGATAGTCCTGAATTTGAAGGGCTTTTCAAATGACTGTCCTCTATTTGAAGGGCTGTCTAGTCCAGATCCAGTATTAAGATAACCCAACATTAAGATAGGAAGTTACCCATCAATAGTTAGCATCTGTGCAGGAGACCGAGAAGGCACAAAGGTTACCTGGTTACAGTTTCCCCACCATGGTGACATGCATGGCATTTCTATTTAAATTATAGTCATTATCTCTAAATCTGCATCTATACATATAAATTAGCACATGAAATTTGTATGCAAATTGATGCCCTCTCTTGTCCCCTTTTGGCTGGTGATGCATTTCTTCTTTCACTGGTGATGTGTGCGTTGCCACCTTGTTTCTGGAAGTGGATGAGGGAAAAAGCAGAAGACCAGAGGTAAGAGCGTGCAAGGGGAATGGAAACTGGGGACTCAGCTATACAGCTGCAAATAAAACGTTTTAATAGTGTTTTAAGTGCAATACACAATGTGACCCTAGTTGGCGATGGTGAGCCTTATGGAAAATTCCATGTATTTTTTTTAAAAAAAGCATTTTCAGAATGGTTTATATATGTGTGTAGATTCCACCCAGGAGAGGGAATGGAGAAAGAAAAGAGGAGCCTGTAGGCAGGCTCTGCAAAGTGGGAGGAATTGTTGCAGCCAGTGTGGTGTAGTGGTTAAGAGTGGTAGACTCGTAATCTGGTGTACTGGGTTCGCATCCCCGCTCCTCCACATGCAGCTGCTGGGTGACCTTGGACCAGTCACACTTCTTTGAAGTCTCTCAGCCCCACTCACCTCACAGAGTGTTTGTTGTGGGGGAGGAAGGGAAAGGAGAATGTTAGCCGCTTTGAGACTCCTTACAGTAGTGATAAAGTGGGATATCAAATCCAAACGCTGCTGCTGCTGCTGCTGCTGCTGCTGCTGCTTCTTCTTCTTCTTCTTCTTCTTCTTCTTCTTCTTCTTCTTCGACTATCAATAAAATGTGTCCAGGAAAAGCACTCTGGCACCCTCCAAGCTTATAAACATTCCATACATGAGGTGGTTTTTATACAAACTTAGACTGACAGGTTAGTGAACCCAGCTCTCTGGTTCATGTAATATGGGGTTTTCCAACTCTGAGGAAATTACCAGGCTTTGGTCTTCCTTTGCCCAACAAAAAGAGAGACCAGCCTCAAGAGGTGCTATTTAGCCTTTGATTAGAGAAACACTCCAAAAGGCTTGCTGAGCCTGATGTGTTCTGAGAGGGCAGCATATCCAAGGTAATGACTCAGAGCCGCTCTCATTTCTTGCTGCTTCTTTCTGACTACCTTGTCCTTTCAGAACCCTTGCTTGAGAATATTTTGTCCTTTGGAGTGCTTGTCAGATGAGTGCTAGTTCAGGAAACATGGATGCCAGATTCTCTACTCAGATATACCTCTTGGGTCTTTAATGACTACGCAAAGTAAAATATGGTCTGCAAATCTGTCTGTTCGTATAGTGCTGTGGTGAGGCAGACACTCAGCTTCTCCCACCCGTGCAATAATTAAAGGTTAAAAAGGTTATGTTACTGAGAATCTTAGTTCAGCTGGAACTCTGCACATGCCCTGAGACCACTGTGAGGTTGTTGGTTTTTTTGCTTTGCTCTGAGCACTATTGTAAGGAATCAGAGAAAGCTATGTAGTTGAAGCTAAGTAAGAAAGAAAGCCTCAGGTATTCCTGGCAAAGCTCATTGCCATGTAGGGAGTTTCTTCGCTATAGCAGCAATAGCATGAATGCTTGCCTATATAGTCCCCATAACCTTGAATATTGAGAATTCAGGAATCCATCTCAACACCCAAATCCAAATATTAAGCAGCTCTAGGTAAAGTAGCAGTGAACCTCCTACAGCAAGCACCTCCCTAGAGATTAGATTGTCAGGGGCAGCCAGTGTTGTGCCCTAAAGTTGTTACTGGACTCCAACTCCCATCAATCCCAGCCAGCATGGCCAATGATCAGTGGTGATGGGAATCACAGGCCAGAAACATGGAGAGCACAACTCTGGCTACCCCTGGATTAAGTCCTCCTACTTCAGTCTGCACTTTCTACTGGCAAATCTAAATTTACATTTCCTGGGAAAAGTTTCCACCTCTCCCCATGAGGGACATCTTAGTCATCTGACTGCTAGTTCTGGCCTCCCTGCCACTGTCTGGTGGGAAAATAATGTTGTGATGTATAATGGCAGCTCATTACCTACATCCTTTAATCCCCCTTCCCACCCAGCCCTACATTTAATAAAATCACCTTTTGTGTTATATCTAACACCTGTCAAGAAGTCTCTTTACTATATCTCGGCACCTCTCAAAACATACATTTTTCAGTCTATTGGGTATTGAACTCACTGGATTGCTTCACTCTACTTCAAGCTTTCTCCAACATGTGAATGCCTTCAGGAGCCAGACCTAATCTTCAGATTAACTTGAGTCCGACCCTTGTTTCCTCTCCTCATCTCACTGTTTCTTCCCAGCACTTCTTCTTCTTGTTTTCTCTTTGAGTAGCACAAGCATTATATCGCAAGAAAATGTGCCATAGAGAAACTGTTTGAGATTAAGTTTGTGACAACATGACTTCAGGTAGTCTGTGTGATTCGTAACAACTACCCACCTTGCTCTTTTACATTTCATTACTGGTGCTTCAAGCTGCAAAGCCATTTCACATAGTATTTTCCATTTTGTGAATTTGCCCCACATAAGCAAGGCAATGCTGTGTCCATTGCAATGTCTGTGGCGCACAACCTTCCAAAGAATATCCCTGTGAATGCATGTAATATGTGGATTTGCGTGGATAGACACACAAGGGGATCTGGTAGCAGTCAAAACCTGGCAGAAGGAATGCAAAGCTATGCACAGTCCAGCTAGAACATTATTAGTGTACATTGCAGAGCATCACGCCTGGGGCCAGACATGTCAGAAAGTGTTCTCATTCCCCTCAATGTTATGTGATGAATCTTCCTGGAAATGAAAGGTCATGAAAGTGACTCCATGCAAGTGCTGCATTCTGATAATAATTGGAATGGTCTCCCTTTCCTGCCAACATGTTTCATAAAAAAAAAAATAATTGCTGGAACACCTGTTGAGAAGAAGCAGATCTGATGGCTTTCCATCTGCTTGCTTGGCAATCAACCCTCTCAAATTAGTTCCATTTTACTGGCTACTACAAAGAGCCCTACACACTCATCTCTGTGGAATCTCATGAACAGTAAGTAACATATCGCCAATGGGGAGGACAACTCACTTGGGAGGCTGTTTGTGTAGCAGAAGCACAAAACCAATATGTTGGCCTTTCCCTTCCTTTCCTGTTGGAAGCAAATTCCGCATAACTCTTCCTTAGAACTGGCAAGTACTGCTTGTTAATTCAATATAATTTAATGATGTAGCTATCACGAAGGCAATGTGGCATGGGAGAACAACACAGAGACCAATACATTGGTACGAGTTCTCAAAAGCATTTATTCATTTCATTTATTCAAGAGCCCTTAAACACACATTCACACATGCTCTGCCACAACATAGTTGTGGGAGATTGTTGCTCTGTCTAGTAAGTAGGAAATCTGTAAATTTCAGTTTTACTAAGTTTCTCAAATTCAGTCCACTACATTTCCACATCATTTTGCATTTTTCTAAAAGTCCTCATGAAAATTCAGCAGCATTCTTTGCGTGAATTTCATACACATTTTGTACGCAATTTTGCCTAATATACACATTTTGCAAAACATTTTTCATTTTTCAAAATATGTTTTTCTCCCATGAATATATGCAACTTTGTACACATTGTTTGGCTGGAGAGCTGTATTGCAAAATTCAGAGGTGTGCAAAATAAGAATGATTACTGTTTCAGTTTATGTCTTGTTTCAGTAAGAGTGACTTTAGTATATTTGTCTTCAAATGCAACCTGAATTTAATCCCCCCCTTCCCTATTAATAGCTGGCCAGCCTAGTAGCACAGAAAGATGGTGGAGCGGAATGATGGTGAATTTTCCCACTGCTCTTTGGGACATAGGAGCAGAGGAAGTTGCCTTCTACTGAGCCAGACCACTAATCCATCTAGCTCTTTACTGTCTACACTGACAGGCAGCTTTTCTTTGGGATTTCAGGGAGGACTCTCTCCCAACCCTATCTGGAGATGCTAGGAATTGAACCTGGAACCTTCTGCTTGCAAGACAGAAAGCTCTGCCACTGAGTTATGGCCCTTCCTCAAGGATGGCTAGTCTCCACAGTTCTTATGCTCTCAGCTCAGCTTTTTGATTACATAGCAGTTTTGATTGCAAGACTGACTTGAAATCAGTGGTGGTGGTGGTAGTATTAAGTATGTGGGTTAAACCACAGAGCCTAGGACTTGCCAATCAGAAGGTTGGCGGTTTGAATCCCCACGACGGGGTGAGCTCCCATTGCTTGGTCCCTGCTCCTGCCAACCTAGCAGTTCGAAAACACGTCAAAGTGCAAGTAGATAAATAGGTACCGCTCCGTCGGGATGGTAAATGGCGTTTCCGTGCACTGCTCTGGTTCTCCAGAAGCGGCTTAGTCATGCTGGCCACATGACCCGAAAGCTGTACGCCGGCTCCCTCGGCCAATAAAGCAAGATGCGCACCGCAACCCCAGAGTTGGCCACGACTGGACCTAATGGTCAGGGGTCCCTTTACCTTTAATGGTATTTTTATCACATATATAGATAATTCCTGCTCCTGAAGTGGCGTACATGAATTAAAGAGAGGTGGGTTGCCTCATCAGGCTTAAACACTTAAATGATAAGATGTGCAGGTGAATGAAGGAGAAGACAGAGGGTGAAGCTCACAAAGTGGTGAGCTATAAGCATACATTTTAATTCAGTTCAGGCTAGGTTGATCCTCTCTTGCTAATGTTCTTGCTTTAAAAGCAACTGGTGGCTATTGTTCCTTTGGCTGATGATTGGGGGCTAAGAGTGCTGAAGTAGTTAGTAGCAATACAGTCAGTTACCACTTTTTTTTTTAAAGGGGGAAATCGTTTTAAAACTATGATGTTGTGAATATAAATATAGTGCCCCCTTTATTTTAATTCTTAGAATTTAATGGTTTGGTTTTGCACTGAAGAACGAGTTGCCATGTTGAACAACGTCTTCAGACCTCACTTGAATGAGTAGGAATATATGTACATTTTAATGTTATTTAAATAGCATGGCTCCCCCAGTCCCAGCGCATTGTGACACTTTACTTCAGTGGATTAAATTGACTTCATTCAACTTGTTAAGGGTTGAATCTGACAATCTGAGCTTGGATGGATTTCTTGGACAACTCCAAAGAAAACTGGATAGTGGGTATGTAAATAGGGGCTTCAATTCTTAGTTCCCATAAGTGAGAAGCTCACAGGATGCTTCTGCTGGTGGAAAGGGACAAAACGATATTTATCCTTTCCCTTGATAGCCCACTCTATTTTGTTCTCATGGATCTGGAGACCTTCTGGAATAGCATGGGAAATGGCTCTGGGGGCTGCAGCAAAATTGTCTCACCTCATCAGCAAGAATTGCCACTCATGGTCCCTTTTATAATTGGAATGAAACCTCCTATTCATAGAAGAGACACTCTAGCTCCAACTCAGAATCTTTAAGGCCACAGGATGGAGAAACACACATTCAATGTATACACAGGTCCTGCTTACAGAACACAATGTGTTCCCTGGACATCGATTATTAGGCAAGCATTCACATAATGAGTGGATGATTTCCATGGATTCCTGCAGGAAAATTTCTAATCCATTATTGACCGTGGAATTTTAACCCTCCCAAAGCCACCTGCCTAGAAAAAAAATGTTCTCTTATTTGTAATTGCTCCTCCTCACTCCCTAAATTCTTCAGCCAAACAGGAAAAGGCAAATAAGGAATTAAAAATTGTTCTATGTTCAGGTATCTGAATCTGCAGTGCATATAGCAAAGTCTGAATACTAATTCATTGTGTTCTGCTAAGTTAATTTTTGAATAGTGAAAGTTTGTGAAGTGGGACCTGTGTGTATACCCATTGTTAATAATAATAATAATAATAATAATAATAATAATTTTTTATTTATATCCTGCCCTCCCCAGTCGAAGCCGGGCTCAGAGAGGCTAACAACAATAAAAGTAACACAGTTTACATAAAATCACAATCAATTAATTGAAATGCATTCTAAAACCAATTCATTCTAAAATCATTTCAAAATCAAATTAATGGCAACCATTGGGCTAGAGTTCTGTGAGGATTACTGAAGGAGGAGGGTCAGACTGTGCCTTGTCCAAAGGCCTGGTGGAACAGCTCTGTCTTGCAGGCCCTGTGGAAAGATGTCAAGTCCCGAAGGGCTCTAGTCTCTTGTGACAGAGCATTCCACCAGATCAGGGCCACGGCCGAAAAAGCCCTGGCTCTGGTTGAGGCCAGCCTAACCTCCCTGTGGCCCTGGATCTCCAAGATGTTTTTATTTGAAGACCGTAAGGTCCTCTGTGGGACATACTAGGAGAGGCGGTTCCATAGGTACGAGGGTCCTAGGCCGTATAGGGCTTTAAACCAGCACCTTGAACCTGATCCTGTACTTCACCGGGAGCCAGTGCAGCTGGTATAGCACTGGGTGAATGTGATACCTGCGGCAAGGACCCTGTAAGGAGTGTCCCCCCAGCATTCTGCACCCGCTGGAGTTTCTGGGTCAGTCTCAAGGGCTGACCCAAGTAGAGTGAGTTCCAATAATCAAGTCTGGAGGTGACCATCACGTGAATCACAGGGGTTAGGTCAGGGCAAAAGAGGTAAGGAGCCAACTGCTTAGCTTGGCGGAGATGAAAAAATGCCGCCTTTGTTATAGCTGCAATTTGCGCCTGCATGGAAAGGGAGGTGTTGAAGATTACACCCTAACTCTTAACGGACGGTGCTGGCACTAATTGCGGCCCCGCAAGAGATGGGAGTTGCCCCCCAATCCCATAACATCCTGACCCAGCCAAAGGACCTCTGTCTTCGAAGGATTTAACTTCTACCAGCTCCCACGTAACCCTCCAGCCAATGATTTCCCCCCATTGCACCTGGTCACGTACTCATAGTTAATTCTTTTCCTCTGTTGTATCTCCTGGGTTGCTCCTTCACACTCAGATAGCACTGAATAACCATCAACTATATTGCTGAGGTTGATCTTTCCCATTCAGCAGGAGCTCAATAAACTCTCCATTTATGTGTTCTTATGATGCAGATAGGGGCTTTTCCTAATGCAATATAAAGCTTTTAATTTTTAATAGCAAGCAATGGCAAAGGCATCTGTTTCTGCCTGACCAATGTCACAAATGTGAGTTAGATTTATATATATATGCACAGAACATTTCTGAACTGCAAAAAATGACTTAGAAAGACCCAGAAATCTATGCTATTGTTTTATAATGGAATAGATAGATCAGCTGAGAGCGACATCAATTAGAATCTCCAGCTGTGAAAAGAATGTAAGGGAAATTAATCTGGACCTCCTTTTGATTAACCAGCTTTAAAGGACTAACGTAAGCACTTTATTCCTTGGGAAGGAAAGGCTTCCAAGTAGGATAGAGAGTTGTTTTTAACAGAGGTAATCTTATAAATTAGTCCTGACCAGGGAAAGACATGGACAGGCGAGGTAATCCCAGCACAAAGTTGACTTAACCTTCATTACCTGATCAGCTTTGCGACTTTTAAGTTGGTTGCATGTGACGCTTCAACATGGCTTAGCTCTTAGGATGTTAAATAGATTTCCCCTCCTCACCCTAGCTGACCTAACAGCTCTTGTTTGGAATGATGGTAGGAATTCTCATTCTGCAACAGGTTTAATACCTGGCCAAAAAATTTATTTATTTATTTATTTATTTATTTATTTATTCAGTGTATATAACCTGCCCTTCCTCCTGAAGGAGCTCAGACAAATATATGGAAATGTTCAGGACAAAATCAAAATCGGGGCAAATTATACATTATATGTAATTGTAATTCCTTTTTGCAACAGTTTCCCCCTTCCTCTCAAGCAAAGGCGGTTGGCCTTGTGTGGATGAGGGAGAGGCTGCCCTTTTTCTGCTCATTACTCCCTTTCAAAGAAGCCTCTTTTCAGTTGCTTCTCCCTTCCTGTGGGACAAAAGATTCAGGGACTGAATTTTGAGCAAACAGCTGGCAGGAAAGAGGTTAAACATCCCATTCCGTCCTCCTCTGTTCAGGATTCCAGTTTCCTAAGAGTCCTTTTCTTCTCTGCAAAAATAAAATAAAATAAAATATATATATGGTGTGAGAAAAGAATGCCACAGCGACATGTAATATGGGGTTAGTCTCTGAGAATCAAGTTTATTGCACTGTAGGCTAGAAGCTAGGGACACGGGTGGTGCTGTGGTCTAAACCACTGAGTCTCTTGGGCTTGCCGATCAGAAGGTTAGCGGTTTGAATCCCCGTGACGCGGTGAGCTCCCGTTGCTCGGTCCCAGCTCCTGCCAACCTAGCAGTTCGAAAGCACACCAAAAAGTGCAAGTAGATAAATAGGAACTGCTCCAGTGGGAAGGTAAACGGCGTTTCCATGCACTGCTCTGGTTTCGGTGTTCTGTTGTGCCAGAAGCGGCTTAGTCATGCTGGCCACATGACCCAGAAAAACCGTCTGTGGACAAACACTGGCTTCCTCAGCCTGTAAAGTGAGATGAGCACCACAACCCCAGAGTTGTCTGCAACTGGACTTAACTGTCAGGGGTCCTTTACTTTTACCTTTTAGGCTACAAGCTATGGTGAAGGACAAAATATTACAAAACCCATTCATTTACAATCACTGTTAAAATGCACACACACAACAAAAAGAACATCAAGTCTGTAAACCCATATACACTTACCTGGAAGAAAATCCTCTTGAACTCAGTGAGACTTCTGTGTTGACATCTGTGATGGCCCAAGCCACTTTTTCATCCTGAGACAAAGGACACAATGGCATATCGCCATTCAACATATGGTAACTGACCAAATGGGAAGTTGACTCTTACTTCAGCCCTGGCTGAGCAGGGTTTTCCAGCGTACCTGAGGGCAACAGATTAGCTTAAAGGGTTGTGCAGGCAGGCTCTCATCCCCAATAAAGTGATTATATTGGCTCCAGTCAAATGGGTGGTAGTCAAGTTTCACGCAGAGTAGACCCATTCAAATTAATGGACCTAATTTATTTGTGTCCATTAATTTCAACAAGTCTGCTTGGAGTAAAACTTAGGTCTCATCTACACCATATAC